ACAGTGGCAATAAAAATACAATAAACGTCGCGACGCGAGAAATATTCCGTACTTAGAGGAATGTTTTATGTAAATGTAGACGTCAGGATCGTTCGTATCAACTTTATTTGTCTCGGTGACATTGGACGCGATTTTTGTGCCTATTCTACTCTATCATTATCAAGATGTTACTTCATCAGTTCCATGTTCCAATTTAGTTTTTATATTAAAGAATGTAAATTTAATTTTGAAGGGCTCAAGGGAATCAAGAAGTGGGGTCCAACATGTCTAATAAGTTTATATTTTTTTCCGAATTGGACTTCGTCTGAAAATCTCAATGTCAAATGGGTGGTAGGAATATCTAAATTTCGTCCGGATCATGAAACAAAGTGCACAGATACAAAGCCAATTTAATCACGTTTCGCTTTTAGTCTGCAGATTTCCGAATATCGAAAGCCAAAATGGGTCGACAGCGCATTTTATCTGCCGTCATGTGAACCCGTTTCTTGTCTGTCGTGTTTATTTTTTGGGTATATTATGGTTTTACATAATCACACTTAATTCTCGTCATTTACATCATAGGCTTTACGTTCACAGTTACCTGGATAAAACTATATGCAGCGTGTGTGTACGTCGTGTCGTTTAAAACACTAACATAATTTCCAACTTTAAGCTTGCGTTTGACAACTTGACTCAACTTAAAATAGAACTTGGCAACAAAGTTGCTGGTAAACAAAATTAAATACATAAGTTACTGGCAGAGCGCCAATTTTATACACCTGGGTGTGTCATGTGTCACGTGATATCGACTAAGTTACGTTTTAACGGGAAAATGGTAAATTGTTAAAAAGACCGATGTACTACATTGATAGGACATAGCTAAATGAATAGCTGTCATTTTGTCAGTATTGGGTAAACAAATATCGAATCCCTAAATGGCCACAATTATGAACCAACAATTACTTTAGTAAATATTTATGACGATGACTGATTGGTTAGAGTTTTTCAGAAGCCTTTTAAGTTCATAACGATCAATTTAAAAAATATATTTTTATGTTAAATACTGTCTGTAATTTACGCGAGTAGCACACATTTTAATAAAACACTTTAACGGTTTAAAACGTTATACTATTAATTAAACTTATCTGAAACGTCGGGCCGTAGTTAAAATAATTTACTAATAAGTCTAACTAATATATATCGCCGTTTTAAGCAGTTATGAGTGTTTTATTTAAATACATAAACTAAGAAACGCTAATGACTTAAATCTATACATGCCACGCACTAACTATGGTAAAAATAACATTCTGTATGATGGTGCTAAAACATATCATCACTTACCCAGAACTACTTATTAAAGAAATTCAATCATACAAACTATTAAAACTATATAAAACATTATATTGTTAGCGCCGTCAAAAAGATTAAATAATGCAAAGAAAAACAAACTAAGTACAACATGTCACAAAGTTGCATCATCTTATAATCAAGTATCTATAATTTATTTATTAACTTATTAAAAAGCAAATTTACAGCTAAGGTCGAAACCGATTGTGTATTAGTGTGTTATTAGAAATGTTTATATTTAAAATAGACCAGAGAAGTATTTCAAACCAACTATAATTGTAAATTCGTACCTACTCGCATATAATATTATGTAATGTATAATATTGTGTTTACGCTTAAGTGAAAAAGTATTTCTGGCGTAAATAAATGTCTTAAACATGTTACGCATTAAATTTCATTATTTCAGGTTATTTACAATAAAATTAATTGCATACAAGACTAATCCACAACTCTACTCCATACGAATATTTTTATTTGCGTTTTCTGAAAGAGTGAGGTTTTTTTGTATGCTTCTACGCAATGTTAATTATTGTTTTGTTCAGCATAATGAATAGTTTGTACGAAAAGCGAAACATTTTTGTATTAAAACAAATATGTCTATGTTTCTATGCAATTTTTATAGCTTGACTGTATGTAAGCTTTGAAAACATTAATATTTTTACATGTTATTACACATGAAGGCACTATATAATTTAAAAATCGAAAATAAATCGAAAAAAACCTCGAAACATAGATACTGTAAGTATATAGTTTACGCGAGTAGTACACATTTAGATAAAACATTTTAACGGTTTAAAACGCGTTATACTTATTTGAAAATTATTTTTAACTTCGGCCCGACATTTCGGATGCTTTAACGTGGCTGCTAACTAATATATCGCGTTTCAAACCGTTAAAGTGTTTTATTTAAATGTCTTGAAACATGTTGGACCTAGTGGGGGCCGAACCCACAATCCGTTGATTATCCATACATTGCTACCATTATTTAATGTAATAAAGTAAATATTAAAGTAAAAAGGAAACGGTACCACTTCATACATGAGTGTCTCAAAGCCTCGAGCTCAGAAGATTTTCAGGCCCACTCACAAAACCCACATCAAACAATGCCATCGTTTAAGAGTTATTAATGGACATCCACACCGCTGTATTACGTTACTTACTTGACCCCGTGTGAATGAACCTTTAGAAATAATGTTTTACAAAGTTTTCAAAGCTAATTTGTAACATACTTTAGTGGTAACAGACATAACTATTTTTTATCATCTTCTATTTGTATATTCGTCCCCTAGTTTAATACAAGGCACCTTCAACAATAGTATATTTAGGTCGCGATGTCCCAGGAACATAATTATAGTTTCAGTCAGGTTATAAATCAAATAAAACCAATGACACAGTAGCAATTGGTTAGAATAACCACGCCCGCTATGGATTCCGGTTGAAATTCCACCCGCGTTGTAATTTTAATTTCAATGTAACTAGATTTTTAATTTAATATTAATTAGCAATCTTCTCTCAAAAATTTGCTTAATCCATGCCTAAAATATAAAAAAAGATAATTTCAACTTCCATAACATATAGCTCTGAATATAGTTGACGTCATCTTTGAATAGAAGCTGATTCAAGCGAAAGCGGAAAAGGCCTAAGTAGGCTTTTAAGCATCTCCATATAGCACAAACGGAATCTTTTATTTTTATTCTCTTTAAGAAGATCATTTTAGTGAACATTAATAATATTACTACTTAATTCTAAGTATATTCACAAGTTAACTTAAAGATGCGTGAGACAAAAACTCCTCTTCCCGGAGTACGGTTTGTCTACCTCTCGGCCCTTCACTTTTCCCCTTTTGTGGGTTTGCCTCCATCACCTTTTTGAATAAAAGAACTGAAACCAAACTACAATTGAGATACTAGAATTCAGTGCATCCATTCTCAGGCTTAATTTTAATTATAGACATAACTCACGCCTGTAATTGTATATACAATATTATTCTTTTACATAATTAACTTTACCTATGGCATCCAAAAGCTTATCACAAATAAACAGAATAATCTACGATATAAACTATCTAAACGATTGACCACAGACTATATTAAAGGACATTATAAAACTACATAGCATGACGCCCGCGTAAAAGTTATTCAAAGGGACAAACAAAAGCTAAATAATGAAATAGACGTCTCCACATGGTACAAGAGCCACTACGTCGCTCGTTATGGTGAGACACGGCCCTTGCGGCGGTCTACGTTTGAACAAGCGTTTCATTAGGCTGCGGTCTCATGTAAACATTGTAGATCGTAATCTTTTTTTATGATAAAGGAAGACATACGAGCAAGGGATTCACTTGATCAAAATCCCCAGGCGAAGTGCCTTTCCAGTATCATCAGTTCTAGACGAAGTCCTATAATGCTGATATGGGCCTTTGAAAGGCACAAAAATCTCTAGTGAGTTTGAATCGTTGCATCTTTGATGTTAAATTTAACGCGTACACTGCTTATGTAATAGTTTCCTTCCGCGACGCGCGATACGGTGTTCACGGTATAGTGTATTAATAGGAGACCACAGCCTTATGTGCTCTTTAACCAAATGACGAGTTTTAATTAAACGTCACTTGCACAATTACACCGCACAACACAATTCATACGTTTTTAATAAAGTTTATTAACCTGTAAGGTGGGTGTAACAATAATAAACGGTTTTAATTAAAAGCTTTTATACACGTCGAGACGTTAAAAATATCTCGTAATGGTAATTAATATTGAAATTGTTTCCTTAAATTTCTCTTTTCTCCTTTTGGTTTTTCCTACGGTCTTTTGAAATATGTACCTTGTAGTTGAATCTAAAAACATAGAAGCTAAAATTATCCTTATATTTTCCTTTGATGGATGGTATTGCTAAGTAATAATTATACCCGTAAAACGTTACTTGTTAAACACTTTTGACATAGAATAAAAGCATCTGTCGCTAATGTTATCGATCAGAGAGTTCAAGCACCGAGGCGCCATGTTGTGATAGCTTTTAATGTAAAGTTTCAACTGAAACATAATAACGTTTCAGTTTCATCGCGTTGTTAAAGCTTTTGAAAAATATTTTGTCTGTAGTGGATCTCCGAGTCGTTTATATTAATTGATTTTTGAGCTTACTCATCCCGATTTTAATGGTTTAAAACGTGAAATATATTATTGCTTTTAACTACAACCCGACGTTTTCAGAATACTCTTGAGTGACTACCTTAACTATGTAACCTGCAGTGTTTTAAACCGTTAAATCGTTTTAATTGGTTCGAGTAAAGTATATACAATGAAGATTTCCTTATTTGAGTTAGTTATTATATTTCTTTATTATTAATGACATGATACTTCACTTATTTAAAGTTCCTATTTAGATAAGTTTTTGATCTTGATATGTTGGGACTATGGAAATAAATTAGCGGTCTAACTATGCTTATATACGAATTTGAATTTACATTATCATATATATTTTAATTCTTCTATCAAATCAAATTCCGATTCTGTGTTTATAATCGCGGCACGGCACGGGCACGGGTCGGCGGACTCCGCTAGGCGTGCGGCAACCCGCGCCTGCGGCCGCCGCCGCTGCGCTGCGCACACGCACTACCGCTTGGAACTGCGTTTGCGACGCGCGACACAACGCTTACCCGTGCCCGTGCTTGCAGGATGCATGCGGTCGGGCTGCACTCCGCGCTCGCAATCCGTCGTGAGCGCAAGCGGCGAGCCGAGCAACAGCGAGCCAAGGAGCGCCGCTACTCGCTACAGTCCACCGAATCCGGCGTCACATCACCTCACTGCTCCACCGGCAGTCTCGAGCGACGGCGCCACAAGAAATCGGGAACCGCCGACAATGAAGTCGTTTCCTCTGTTGGCATGCTCCACCTCGGAGTGGTCTTCCTCGTACTCGGCGTTTTCCTCATTGCATCGGGCTGGCTCCCCGACGACGTAACCGCCTGGAGCAGCATCGGCTCCGTTAGCTGGTTCAACGAGCTCGTCTGCTCTGGCCTTTTTGCACTCTTCATTGGAATATTTTTAATCATTCTCCATAAATACTTAACAAAGAGCGAAGAAGAGGCGCTAGAAGATTACGTGCAAAAACAACTTACGCGCTCCAGATCCGGCCATAGATTGGAGAGAGACGCTGAGACAGGTGGCATGCGCACGAAAACTGCGAGAAGACTGCGAACCACGGAAGTTTTGCCTGAACCCATAACGGAGACGTACACCGAGCCTCCGCCAGATAGAGCACATGGGTTTGTGAACGCATTAGCGCTGAACGGGGACGCTATGCGAGAGTCACCGTTAGAGCAAATCGTCGAAGAGGAAATGTCAATGGCGTCGGAGAATGAGAGAAGATTTGGGAAATTTAACAAAGACACGTACTCCACTCCTTCGATGGCACCGAGTCTAAGCCCTGGATCACCGTCAGACACAAAGGAACTACTGTCCGATGGCCGCTACATGATCATGTCCAAGATATGAATAACCCAACTTGACCGTTCGTTGATCCCCTATATTTTATTATTGTATGGAATTGTATTCGACTTTATTGGTAACCATGTTATATCCCGCTAATATTTCTTCTTACTTCGAGTGTTCAACTTTCACGCATTCTCCATTAAGAATAGAATGTTCGGTATCAACGAATCGTCAAAGGGGATTAAATAAATGCGTTTGAAGATGTTGTGATTCACGTTAAACTATATTCTATATCACTCTGTTTCTTATTAACTAAGATTGCTCTTGTGCTATCGACGAACAAGCTTCATAGCTTCAAATATTAAACTTGCGAGTTTGTGATGTTCGCTTCAATAACTAATTTATTTACGAGTAGATAATCAACGCATAGTTCAACCTTTTTATAAAACGATTTCAAATCAATCAAATCTTTTTATTATTTTTATTGGACTTTAAATATTGTATTTTTCGTCATTAGCTGTAAGATCGTACATTCGCAGTAGGTTTTTTGTTACTGTAGCTTAAGACTGATTACTAGATACTAAAATAACTAAGTTAAGTTTTTTCGTACACTGCTATTTTCTTTCATCAAATATAATTTTCGAGCTGTGCCAAACTTTTGTAATCATTCTTTTTTGAGTTAATATAGTTTTGTGATAAATAACATTTTCTTTGCAAGTGTTTTTATGGTTGTATTCATGTATATCTAATTAAAGTAATTTACTATCATTTATTTTATAATATGGCTGTGACATTTAAGTTTTATTTTTCTATTATGTTTTAGTTAGAACTGTGGCACTGTATTCAGGCACCGTGCACCTTCGTACTAACAATGTGATTTAGTTGATAAGCCTTTTGAAAGTTATATTTTAAAGATCTTTTGTATCTATTCTTAATGATTTTTATATAATTTCTACAAAAAATGTTATACTCTATAATTCCTATAAAACGGAGATTTTGTATTAGGTTCCTTTTAAGCGATTTGAAACATATTTAAAAGTGATTTTTAATATAGATAATTTTACGACACCTATTTGTATTTATGGTATTAGCACAATTTCTACTCATAACTAAGGTTTTTGGTAAATATTAGAAAATCAAGAACTTAGTATATTCTCAGAAAAAACATACCGATGGGACTTGAACACAAGTACAACTAAGGTATCAGATTCAATAACTAAACACAAAATCGTCTAATATTTATCAAATTTAAATATTCGCTAAAATGTAGTAACAGCTAGCTTGTACATACTAGTATCTAGTTTATATCGTAAGCACGGAACTTTTAAATACTGGTGATATATAAACGAATTACACGGTAGAAATAGTCTGGAAGCAAAATGAAAAAGCTTTTGTGCTACGAAAACGATCGCTCCGACACGGAGATTTTCACGGCGCATTAAGGACGGCTTAAATTTAAAGTTCTGAACGATTTTACCTATACCTTCATCTCTAGATAAACAAGATTAATTCATATTTACTATGACCTTATGAGGCATACGCTAGGCGCTTTGCGACGGGCATGCAATGATTTAAAAAATCGCATCTCCAATTCTATTAGAATAAATGCACTGTGGCAACACGATCCTTAATGCGACATAGTTAGAAATATTCGATTTACTATTTATAGTGAGGAATTCTTATATGTTGCGGATTAATTAGGCAACATACATCTATGCATTATTTTATTAATTTTCACTCTTTTTTTCATGTTTAAAAGTACACTAGCATGAAAGAGACAAAATACAAAACAAGATAAAGACTGTTCATTTTTAAACTAACTAATTGTCGCATTAAATGGGCTGTCTAGCTTAAATACTTATTGTAAAATAATTAATGAAATCTTGCACAAAATATAACGTGAGAATAGATGCACACAAATTAATTATGAAATTTCTTGTGCCTATACTTTTATAATTAGGTATTTTATAGGATTGTAATGTTACTATTTTGTATACTTGCTAAGACAATGTAAATACGCCACCAATATCACTTTTACTTAACGTTTCTTGTACTCAAAACGCCTTCGCTATTTGTATTCCTATTTACAGTATCACATTGTAGTAAACATTTTTTATATTAATTAAAATTACACGTTTGCGTAGAATTATTAATTTCATGCTTTAGCAGCATATTATGTAGTACATACTTTGTGCCCATTGTATAGAATGTACCTACTAACATAGCTCTTCACTAAATTAGTCCAAGGCTGTAGTCTCCTATGAAAGCGTTACACCGCCCTCAAAATGCTATATAATTCGGTCTGTTTCATACGCAAAACGTTAACAATAATTTTTTTTTAAAGTAAACAAACAAATTCGAACGATTTCAAATAACGCTACTAGTCTTTTCACCATATTTGTAGTGTTATTTTGCCACCTTTTGTTTCAACACCAGCGTATGAAAGAGACAACAATACTTAGTTTATATTACAAGCGTGACGCGACGCTACAGCATTTATAGGAGACCAAAACCTAAAACGCTCTGAAAATGCATCCACGACATACTTACGTCATCTTAAAAGCCTTTTAAAACTCTCTGCCAAAAGATTATATATGGGGCACAGTAAATTAACATAGAAGTGTACAGGCACTAGTCTTCTTCGCTAACGTCACCGACTTGTGTTTTTATTAATTGTCAATGTACGCAACGCTCAAACACATTAGTTGTGAATTTTTATGCAGTGTCGATGTCGTGAAGAATTTTTATAAACGCTTTTGCGCCTATATTTATGCGTGTGAAACGCAATTTACTATTTCTATGATTCTAAGGTATTTTTGGTGTCTGTGTCATTATCTATGGACACTTAACCACAAAAAGTATCCAGTACAAAGATCATGTCTATTCGGCCTTTGATTTATCAAAATCGTCAGAGAAATTACATCTCTTATTATATTACCTAATAGCATTTAAATATTCTACATTTTTGAAAAACAAAGTTTATTAAATGCCTGCGTGGAATATGTAGAACAGAGAAAAGTTGCTTTTTCCATAATTTTTCCAAGCAATACCATAAATTATATGTGAGGCTTACTTACGGCTTTTAAAAGTACATTATTTCCCTAATATTGCTGTACTAAGGTTTTATAATAAAAAATGTTTCAGTCATTTATTGTTTGTTACAAAAATTTTCACAAGAATCGCATAGACACAAGTGAGTTCTGACTACTTAATACAAATAATATATATTGTACGCAGACAATTAAAATTGATACGACACCACACTCAAGTTATCTACAAAGCTATCATTTTAAGTAGTTGACTTTAAATCTAATCTTACTTTTCAAATTACTGTTGAAATGTTTTATTAAAGCGAATCTAAATATCTGGCTTAGAAACTTGTCTATTAAAATTCCTAAGCATTAAATTAATGTTAAATGTTTTAATAAAACATTTTGCGCCTATACAGACCAATTTCAGATAGTTTGATTAAGATTATAAAATTTTTACTACAATATAAATTACAAATTGTTATCCGTACGTAAATAAGTTTTTAAAAATTTCCATTATTATAAATTGCATTTGGACAAAATCGATAGTGACAGTTTAAAATAATATCTTAATTACACCTATACGTAATGTAATCTCTGCTTAAATAAATAAACAATAAGTCCTCATTTCAGGGGAGAACTAGATTACTTTTTTAATATTCTTCAAATAATATCGTACCCAGTGGCTTCTTCACGACGTTTACAAGACCAAAGCACTGTCGGTTCTTTCCAAATGAATAATCACATCATTCCACGTTAGAATATTTAATTTTCACTCGATTTATTACACTTATTAATAAAGGATTTAAATAAATGTACTTTCATTTAAAGAAACCACTACAAGTATAATAATAATATAGCTGTATATACATAATTAAAATTAAAAATGTATTTACATTGAAAACTTTCGACACGTGCGGGACTTAAACCGGCCCGTGCAAATAAACTTTCTTATTTATAATCAAGAGTGAGTATTTACCGTAATTTGGTGTCAGTCTGTGGATTGTCGAAAGTGCAAAACTAAAATTAGGTCGAGCGAATCTTGGTTGTTATAAGACCGGCTTACTCCACTTGACTATTTATGTCACTAGACGTATTCGTCTGTTCATATTTCTTTATACAAAGTAGCTTTTACAATCAGACAAGATTGGACCTATTTGAAGGAGATATTGACGTGACCTGACAAGTCTCTTCAGCTGTCTAAACACCTATCTCAGGGTAAAATTACATAAAAATTTAAGAGTCAGTAATAAATAATTAAACATGCGCTTGTATGTGGAATTTAATGTGCGTTTGCGCATTTAGCTTTGTTTGCCAACCTTTAGTTATTTTCAAACAAAAGAAGTGAAGTGGGTCTACATAATAAAGCTAACAGGTTACCTATTCAATTCGACATTATCCATTGTTTCTTATTGGTACTAGCGTGATGTTACATAACCTAAAACTTTCGTTGATACATGTTCTAACCAAAAATAATTATTTTTCAATGCGAAACAGTAATTCCTGAGATTAGTGCGTTCAAACAAACAAACTCTCCAGCTTTATAATATTAGTACAAATACATAAATACGGCTAGTATTTTTTAAAAGCATCGACAGCTTTCATGTTGAACTTGACAAAGAACCGCCTTTAGTTTAAGCGTAGTCGTAAAAGCGTAGTTTGCTACTGGTAAACGTTTAAAGCACTCATATTTAACAGCTAGGTTTCAACTGTGACCTTTTGCTTACAAGAAATTCTTATATTACATTTTATACTCTATGTAAATTTTACTATGGAGCCCTAAAACGAAGTACTGCACCGCTCTCCAGTTAATAGATTTTGTCGCGTTGTTATTTAGCAAAATTTGCTGATTAGACTTTAAAAGTGATAATGAACAAGGAATTTTATAAAAAAAGAAAGAAAAATACGGGCTCGTTGGTGTAATGCTTGCAACGTATGGCTGATAATCCACGGGTCGTGGGTTCAACCAGGTTTAAGAAAGATGGACTTCGCCTAGAAATCTGATTATTAAACGGGCGGTAGGAATAAATATTTTCCGTCCTGTTCACAAACCACCGAAAAAGCCGCGACGTTCACCGCGTTATACGACGGGATTTCTAAATATCTAAAACCAAAATAGGTTCACAGTATATTACCACCAAGTGAACAACATGTATATCTGTCCTTCTCAATAAGAAATCATTGTGCTGATGTAATATTTTTCTTATTCCCTTTTCTTCAAGTCATATGTAAAATAGTACTGCTTCATGCTATCCAACTTATTCTTGGTGCATGAAATTCGAAATTGCGTCAGCACTGCAAAGTCGAAGTTTAGTTAAATCTCAAAGGATTTCGGAACTGTTACTTTAATTAAAATTTTGGTAAGATTTATCGGTCCCGGCCCTATGACATTGCCAATTTGTTTTTAATCCATGATGTGATAAAATACAGTATCAACTTAAAATTAATAGTATTTAGTGCAAAATGCCCTATTAAAATAGATTATACACATATTAAAATATGCCCTATTAATGGCATGGAAATAGTTAATGGCAAGTAAAGAGTCATATAGGCATGGAAATAAATAGTTATTTCTTTATTTACATATCACAGTACAGAAGTATATCCGTTGTTAGATAATAGGTTTAAAATAATTTAATAATTGTCGTTTTTTTATAATATGGAGTTAAATATAGGAAGGTAAATCGTTTCGTTGCGTAACGCGTTATGGCACTAATTCTTCAACGCATACATTTTCACCTAACAGAATATTTAAAAAAATGACATTTGCATATAATTTTTTCTTAGTAATATGATAAATTATTAGATCTCTATAATAAATAAAATCCACCAAAAATGAAAACTAGACATAAACTAATTATTGATGTTAAACACCGCTTCAGTGTAGTAGGAAAAAAGTCTGTTCATTTTCCTCTATATTTCTCTCGCTAATTAAAAGAAACATCATGCTGCCGACATCATAATATTTTTTGCCTTGGTTTATGAGTTGATCTTTGTAAGGTGCTGAAGAAAAATTCCTGTGTTTCAGATATGCTCCAGTCTTTATTACAACCCAGTAGCCAACGGACAAAGTGTAAGTAAAGTTATAGGGTGAATTTTAGCTATATGAAGCTGTATACAGGTAAATGTATATAAGTTATAACAAGGTAGGTATAAATGCTCGAATTTTCGGTAGTTTTTACATATAAATAAAACCAATACTTCATATATTTTGACACACAAAGAGATCCCCAAAATATTGTACAATCTGTGCTAGCGACTTTGTCCGCGTTGAATAGTTATTTTGGGAATCAAAATTTGTTTTTGTAAACCTCATCTTTATAAAAATTATAAACGTTACCCATGACGTCAGTCGAATCCCGTCGGGCTTGCAAGTTAATCTTAAAAGATAGACATATACTGTCGCGGGCATTTTTCTTTCTTTCGTACATATTTTTTGGGTACGGTCACGGAAACTCAAAGATGAATATTTTACCCCGTTTTTTCCACATTTCATTCTGTTTCTTCGCTCCTATTAGCTGCAGCTTGATGTTTTAGCCTAAAGCCCTCTTCGGTAAATGGTTTAACCAACACAAAAAAAAATCCAATTCAAACCTGAGATTACCAAAAAAACCCTTCAGCTTTGTACATTAGTATAGATTTATATGAGGGGGGTAATAATGTATTAGTAGGGGGTAAAGCCTATTGAGCCTAGTCCATGTTAGTGTAAATTACGGATGGACTTGGATTCTAGGTACAGCCAAAAAAATGATTGGGGCTATGCCAGCAGTAGCCGTCCGGCATGAGCGGCGGCGTGCGGAGAAGCGGGGCGGGGGGAGGCGGCCATCGCAGCTTCCCTTGCAGTTGGGTAGAGGAGTTGAAGAGGCCAGTCCTTCGCCAGATGGTCGATTCACTCACAAGCTGTACTTCTGTAGGAAGGTAAGCTATGTTTCCCTAGAACTAACTAGACGCCTACTACTCCATAGATATCAACAGCGCTTAAAAATCTTTTAGTCTAGAAGTAATCTGACTGTGGTCTATTGCTTCTTGCTTAAATACACATTAAAGTGATACGAAAAGTTATAAAGTTGTTAAAAATTACCATATTTTCCTATAAATAACGTTATTCTTTGATAGCAACTACATTGATAGTTAATATTAACAAAAACGATCAAGCAGTTTGAATCCGAAAAAATAATTTCTCTTGCATGTATAACGTTAAAGAGAAAAAATATTATATATATCTACTCTCTCCGTTCTAAATCAATAAAAATCAATTTTTGTCTTCATGGATTCGATATTAACTTTTGTTTGAGTTACTTTTTTTGATAAATCCAACGAAGAAATAAGCAAAAACCATTTTATATTACAGACAGCATTCTTGCACGCCGTGGTCGGCTCGCTTCTCCTGGGTATAGTTGTCCTCGTGGTGGGCTTGGTGCAACTATCTCCAGGCGCGGAAGCAGCACAACACCGATATTACCTGATGGGGTCTGGTGCAGCTCTTGTTGGTGCCGGTATATTAGGAGCTGTACTTAGGTACATACAAATCAAATATCAATCAAATCAACCTTCCTATAACATCGGATCTTTAAAATACGTAGGATTTGAAATAAAACAGTTTTAACAAATAATATAGCAAAATCGAACATATTAAATGTTTTATTTAAAACTGCAGACAATACTCTAATACGTCTCTGTTTCATTGATAGATCGTCTAATGATAAGTCTGTAGCTGACCTACATAACCGAAATTCAAACCCAAGACCTCCTGCGCTTAACATTACAACGAAACCTGTTACAAGTGACACAGATTCTTGTTTCTCTTCTACGATTCTTAAGATCTACGTTTTATTAGACATGTCAGAAACCACAATGTACCTATATACCAAAAGTTATATATTAGAATTAAAGAATTTGTAACCGTGCCGATGCGAACTAAAACAATAAAAATACTTAATTCTACTTGATTCGTACTGGATAAAGCTCTATGTATGAAGACATTACAATAATTATTATTCAAGTACTTCTCTTTCAGATGTGTCTGCATACACTGTTACAACAGGAAGTACCGATCGAATTACCACGTACCGCGACCAAAACCAACAGGCGATTACAGGACATACAACGAGAAGCATGCTGTCAGTATTGTGGAGACCCCTCAATGTCGTCCAAAGCTGAAGAGCCAGTCAAGTGTAGGGGAAGTCGACCTCATTAAACAACCTTCTGTCGGAAGCGACACTTAAACTGACCATGAAATCTAGGATAGCGATAAAATGTGGAGTGTACCAACATCGTTGTCACAGAGCTTTAACAATTATTTATAGCGACTCTGCAAATCATTGTATTGCCTGGTTAGGTAGCTTAGAGAATTCTTTATGTACAAACTGTTTCGGCTCAAGAATTTTAAGATGAAACCTTTAATCTGGTAGAAGTTTCGTTCTTTATAAAATATTCGTTACAAATTTTACGATGCATGTAAAACCGTTGAGTTTTAATGCATTTTGAGGCACAAAAGTATGGAGCATAAATTTCATTCTCTATTTACTGAATGGGAATCAGAACTACAGATATTTGTAACCGTAAAAACTTTTGTAAGGGCACATTAAGCTTTTGTTCTTAATAAAACCTTTGATTGTGGATAAATCCGATGTTGGTGACATCTTCGTAAAGATTAGGAAATAATGTGTATTGTAAGTTAACCAATTCTATATGTGTAGTATCCAATAACTCGTTAAGATTAGGTAATAATAGTCTTACCCACTTCTATAGAAGCTTTAGTTTGTATTTTGATATGACTTTTGGAATTCCTAGTCCTTTTTAATTCTTTTTTGAAGTTTTTACGAGATTTTATTTGTAAAATTGTAAACGAATTTTTATTGTCTTACGAAATTAGGTCGGTCGATACGTGTCCGCGCTAGGATATCAAATATCAATCATATATATAATTCAATTGGAACTTACCATATTTTGTTTTTATAGGTAGGTTTGGATTTATTACATATCATGATAAATATCACATAGTATCATATTTTTATCAATTGTTAAACATAGCCGACCTTAAAATCTATTTATCTTTCCATTAAAAGATCATGTATTTACAACTTCGTTACTCTTAACCCTTACCGTCCGAAAGGTTTTCGTTTACATAAAATTATTACTGTTATGTACTTAATGGAAATATTATATTTTGGAATTACACGTTTTAAATAGATTTATCAACACATGATTGCGACCATGTATTACTACAGATATTTAAAATACAAAATATAGTATATGATAATAGTGCAATAAGATGAAATAGATTTCTCATATCCCTTTACGTTTCTGTTCAATTCTGATGAATTTAAATAAACTAGCGTTTTAATATTAAAGAGACTGAAAAGAGTGTTCTACGGTAAATCTCTGATACTCATTTTAAAATCTTTGATATTACTTTATTGGTAGTTCGACCTTTTCGTTTCTTACGCTCCACAATCAAATGTCCTAATATTAATTAATTTATTATTTTATATAGATATATATATCCAAGTCACTTTATAATATATGGGTCCAATGCTTGATCCATACTTTAATACTAAAAACGTAATTTAGACTATATTAATAGATTCGATACATATTTCTTTTAATCGATGTTGTCTCGAATGTCTTTGGTAATATCAAATATGCATATATTCTAAAACACAGTTAAGGCACATGATTGTTTCACTAAGACCTAATTTCACCGACAAGTAAAAACATTGATAACAATTAACTGTCCGTAAACTTTTATTTCTTCTTCTTTCTTCTCTTTTACATGGAGATTTGGAATCGAAGTTACACATAGAGAGAAGTTAAAGTTCTTAATCACTTTTATTTACCGGTGAAATTGGATCTTGGATAATTTAATCATTCGTTAACCTTTTTTTATTATTTGGACTGATCGAAACTGTTTTGTTACAGTTATTATGCTTATTTATACTTAATACGTAGGCACTAACATGCTATATATAAGAGTTACTGTATTCATAATAAGGGTGATAAACAGTTAAGCTGCCTTTTGCTTTGTCCAAATAGTAAAAAATGGTAAGTTCAAGTATCTCAATGTTCTTATTAGTTAATTAAATGAAGACATTATATTAACTTGTTGTCTATAATCGGTGTTTAGTTTTAAGGATTCCAAGTATTTGTAATATCTAAGACTAAGGTATATATCGATGTTAATGATTTAATCATACTTTGTAATTTTAAAACTCGTACGCTTAACAACGCTTTGATCTATATAATATTGCCAATAGTCAATAGAACGGACATAAGTGGATATGATTCAGAATATTTCCAGGGAGAAAAGTCTACTATAGAACTAGGGTACCCCGAGGCACCGTTTTGTTACTCTTAGGTGTCATATGAGAATCCACCACCCCTACTGATTTAGGACATAGATTCTGCATCTTACTACTTATGTTTGTTCTAATTACAGACATGTTACAATTGTTTGGACGCTTTTTCGCCAAACTGAATTAAGCTGACAAATAGCTAGTCTTTATTATGTTCTAGCCAGAGATTATATAATTCTATAGATTCGATTATCTATGATCGTTGTTAATAACTATGTTAGATAAACATTTATTTAAAGCTTGTATCGTTATATTGCAGTGCCAAAAAAGGGTTTAACCATCCTAACAAGGAATTTGTTTAACCGAATTTTAAACAAAAGAATTTAATAGAGTATAAAATGTTAACTTTAGCTTTGAAATTAAATAATTTTGCTTGTTATAGATTCTTAAATTTTATGTACGCTAAGCCTATATATTTTTCATATCAATTTCAAGAATCAATTGATTGATTATATTATTTGACTGTACAGGCCATTTGGAATGCAGGATGAAATCTTGGTCGAATGGGTTTAATGTGCGACAGTCAATCGATAAACATTTAACCTTAAGCTTTGTCGATTAGAACATAGTGCATGATAGAATATAGGTATGGTATTTAAAAGGATCAGATTGTATAAATTGCGTTCTATGATAAGTGTGCATCACTAAAATAACTAGGTGGAGCATAGACTACGAGAAACTAATTCCGTTACGTGTGAAGAACTTATAATATATAATATGATCTGTGGTTGACGCCATGTCATAGGTTGAATTTTTGGCGCGAATTATACGCGCTATCGTCTGTCTCTCCATTATCGTAGAGTCAAAATATTTTAAATATTGAATTTCTCATGGTAATTGCTATTTTGTGAAACAAGAGAATCATATAAATTGGAATGATAATAGTAGGTATGTTCTGCAGCTCCGTTATATAGTTACATTATCAAAAAAACGTAATAAATAAGGAGAAGTCTTCTTAAAATGTAAGTTATTTTACGTACATTCCGCGTGTTGTTATGTAATGTAATTAATCTGTTTGCCAAAATGTAAAGGTGTTTATGCAAAAATGTGTCATGTTTTAACATATAACAATGATATGAATTATGCCATCTTGGAATAAAAAATTGTTTGCTCTCATTAATGAAAACTTTTATGCATATAATCTATTAGAACCTAACAAGGGAGATTTTTTTATGAAAATATTGTATTCTACTGTGTGTGTAGGTACGTTTTATTATAAACGATTATTTTATATCTACAATAGACATAAGTTTTATCACATTTTAAATTCCTATGTTCCTATTTCTTTTTTATTGTTTCATATTAAGTCCTTTCTCATCTATATTTTATATAACTCATAATCTCTCATACGACACAGTGTTTGTTATGGAGGGACATTTAATTTTTATATAATAAAAGTGTTTTATATTTCTATATTCATATAATATTTTAGTTTAAGTTACGACTGTACTGTTTTATATCTCATATATTTTATACTGATATGATGTCTCTAATAAATGTGGACGAAATAGATATGACTTTTATTTCTAAAATTTGAATGTCCCTAGGACAAAGAACCAGAATTTTAAAAATATTTTGTTTGTAATAATACTATTAATTAGTATTCTTAAACGAATATTATATTAATTAGCGCTAATAATTAAAATTAAAATTACTTATGTATTAAAGCGCCATCTATACAACACATGTAAAACGACGTCTTACAGAGTTTGTATATTCATGGACACCATGATATAAATATTTTTGTATTCGTGCACAGGTTTCAATTAATAACATTTTTTTTCTGCAAAAACTTTATGGAAAATAATGTTTATAATAAGCATTTGATCGATCTATCATCATTACTTTAAATAGTTTCTTCCCTTCAGTTTTTATTGATGCAGTTATAAACATAGCCAACAGATGTCACTTGGTAAAATTATTTTTTAGTGTAGCACTAGTTATTTGATAAATGGTTAAAAAATTTAATGCATAACTACTAGTGCAGTCTTAAAAGAGGGCGTTAAAATCGCTTATATCATTGCATTTCGTATAGTTTCTCTCTTTTTATACGTAGGCCACACGCTACTTGGCAACGTCGCGCGGCGCTTTAAACCCGCGCATTGATTACGTGACGCGTCAAGGAACGCTTCTATAAACCCCTGCTTAGTGCTTGCAGTGCTGTTCGCTGTGTCGTGTAATGTGTGCTGATTGTCGCGCGCTATGCCGCCTTTATACACGAACTTTAGATACAATGACATCCAATCATCAATTAAAGAAGATAACATTCCGAACATAAGAAATCCCGGTTAGATGTAAGAGAAAAGTATTTGCGCTTGTCAAAATTTCTGATATATTACGTTATTTTACAAGGAATGCAAGTGCCAAAGAAATGCGGTGCAGTTATTCAAAGGAACGTAGGAAAAGTGTATAAATTTGTTATCTTTTCCTAGATTGAAATGCAATTTGTAAAAGTACTCATTAGTTATCTTTTCTTACAGGTGTTTTAATAATTATATGAGATGTTTTCATGATGAAATAATGATGGCGAAATCTTTATGGTGCATAAGACAATCATCTATTTCAGAAGGCATAGTTTTGGCTTCGACAGTTTGAGTTGGAATTGTAAATGATAAGATTGGTACAGATCAATTCCATTGTTTTATGAAAAAAAATTGTACTGTAGACATCTGTAAGCGAGACAAACAAGAAATTGTAATAGGTAACCTTTGATATGAAAGTACCTGCGTGGAGATGAAAGATATTTTTAATTGGTAGGGTGGACACTGAGGAGTAGAACACATCAAAGTGATCAATTAAAATTAATACATATTATGAATGATTTCCCTTAAATGTATAAGTTTCGCCAGTATATTTATGTAAATTAATAA